AGAAGCAGCGCAGAGAACCATCTCAGAATGCATTAACGGTTTAACCTGCTAGAATAGGTCTTCCCCTTGAGAGAGACACACGTTACGGATTGAAATAACACAGGACACGAGCACAACGTGCCATCTGTCATAGTACGAGCGATCCAACGAGCCATTACTTCTTGATAGCCGCGGGCTTGCAGGAGGCTATCAACTGTCAGTCAGGTTCATGCGAGCCTTGTCGCAAGACTGCGGATGGTAGTGTCGGATCCTCTCTGACAGCTTCGAGAACGGTGGAGTCTTCCACTTCGTGAGGGCGTCCCGACGTCCCGTTTCTTTTCGAAGATCGTGTCTCCTTTCGCAAAGCGAGCGAACCTTCAGGAGACAGTCCTGATGGTAGTGGTGTCCTCCGCAATGCACTGTTGATGTTGCGGACAGCTGCCGTGGCTCCAGTGCCGCGGGGCCACTGATAGAAGATGATGACCCGAAGATGCTCCTGTGAAACTGACATCGTAATTAAACCCAGGGAAGAGCGGGCGCTTCTGCATACCTTTCGCAGAAAATCGTTAAGAGTGTCCTGCAATCATAGGAGAGAATCATCGGCGCCTCGTTCGGAAGATGAATTTTTCTTCTATCCGCTTATGGCTATTTTCTTGTTGTTTTGTGCATGTTTCTTTCTTTTGAACATCTATTTTCATCCCTTAAAACTTCTAATTGTGCAGTTACTGCAGATGTGAACAATGGAGCAGGGTTCGTTGAAAAATTCCTTTCGCATAGCTAGAACTACTAATGCTGTGAACGTGCCTTGTTGTTTTCATAGACTTACTAAAAATTCTATTCGCTTGCCACTAGTATTATTGTTTTTCCTGAGTTACCTAATTAGAATGAAATTATCAATTCCCCTGGAATATGCTATTCACTCAACACTTAGTTGTGGGCAGGAGTGTGCAACAATGAGACATGTGCTAGCCATCCACTACATTCTGAAGATACAGTGAAATTCAGGAAATCATACCAGGCTCCAAGATATCCTAGAGCTACGACGAACATTCCAGAGACACAGCAAAGTTCAGGAAACTACAAAGTTTAGGAAATATTATACCGTTTCAAGATATCACGTATATAAAACAAACATCCTAGAGACACAAGAAATTCAGGGACGCTTTAAGCTTGGAGTATTTTGAATCTGTCAAGAGAATATGGGCAGACGTTTTGGTTCAATGACTCCATATAGCTGGAAACGCTTCGACGAGACACTCATGCGAGCTGGCAGAGCTGGAGCACAGACGAGTAGATCTCTGTGTGGTGCATAAGACAAGATGGTTCAAGTGCAAGTGAGAGACATTGTCACGACTTTGTAGTCATTTTTTGTGGCAAGCCAAGGGCTATCAACAGTGCTGCCATAATCGTCTCTAGATGTTTCCGTGACTCGGTTGCCACCGTGGAACGTTTGGTTGGAGCCACACGCGGCATTTGCTCTAAGTTAGATCGTTACGCTACCTTCCACAGTGCGGCGTTGGAATGACCGCTTTCGCTTCAGTGACTCCTACCAGGGAGATAAACCTCGTTAAGGGAGGCCACCTGCCTTGGATTTGGGATTGCTGCGTCCCTTGATCAGGAGTAGGGATCTCTGGGTGAACCGATTCTGGAAGCGCCAAAAGCTAGATCCTACAGGAGACCGGACAGAACCGATCGTGCAATCCCATCAATATAGCAGGAAGGTGGTACTGTGCTTATGGTGAACCATTAATGGTTACGGCAGAAAGTTTCTTCCTTACCGCTGTGCTAACTAGCCAGTCCTCCTGTAATTAACTGCAGAAGGAGGATAGAAATCTCCATCATTAGGTCTCTCACCCCGCAGTGTGTGCATACTTCACCGCAGCTCAGGGTCACACATTTGGAAAATGACACTGCTCGAGATCCCGAAGCTTAGCTGGGGAATTCCACCACAGTCTTCTGTAGCCCTGACTTAGCTCTTTCTGTTTGTCATCTTGAAATAATCATTCAGCGGCTACTTTCTAGGCAAAAAATACGATTTTTGAAAGTACCTCAAATGACCCAACTGTCCTCCTCACGAAACCAGAAGGCTTCTGGAAGCAAGGCAACCACTCTTTGCCTGGTGGTTGGCAACAAGTTGTCGATGAAGATTAATGTATTTTCAATCAAAATTGCTTCTCACTGGAATGAACTCGACTCAAAAGTTTGATAATCTCATGATTTTTTGGGACAACTTAATAGAACATGCGATGCCCTTCTGACAACAATCAACAATCTTGAACCTCTCGAGCTACGGTAGTGAAATAAAATAAAAATTGCATTCATTCTCCAAAATAAGGTGAAGCAATTTTGAGTTGTATTGTTCCTCCGACCGATCCTTCTCCTTCTGCATCACTCGATCGATGAGTGATCGAAAGAAGTCCCTGACTGCCAGTGCGGGGCCAACACAATTTTTTAACTGGCTCTCTCGCAAAAAAAAACCGGCGGCCGAACAAGTGGTTATCAGAATTTCAGGGAATACCGCGGGTGAGGAATCGGATTCCAACAGCTGTCTGGCGGCGTTTCGACCACGGTTGTATGTTTTTCTCTAGCTGCGCCAGTAGCAGCACATAAATTCATTTGGGCAACATTAACAAAGTGGAAACTCTTTAATCACATGTGGGAGCTTGAAGAACGGAGCAGATACAATAAGATACTTGTCTTGAAGCTTTCACGCTTTTCGCCCATGTCGCTGCATAATTCAAGTCCGCCTCCTTTTTTGAAAGAAATCATTGGTTTGATGACACTATCAACTAATAAGAAGAAAACCACATAAATGCCCCCATTAGCACTCCGTGCTGGTAGTGGCTGTGGGGGTACGCTCAGCCATCAACGATACCGACAATCGCAATAGCGGCGATGGAGGCTGCAACCGGAGTATGAAAGCTGCCTATTCAGCTCATGTATACCTACGCCGAATGAACGTGAATATATAGAGGTCGTGCACTCAAAATCCCTGATATGCAGTAGGCGTGGCTACGTACTTGAATTGAACGTGGCGGGGTTTTCGTGGGACATTTTCACTTTGGGCCAGTGGTAATAGTAATGTCTTTTCTAACATTGAACAGCATATCACTTGCCTCAAATCGATACATCCCACGAGTGACCCATTTTATGACATGTTCAAATGCTATGCCTACTCCGTCTCAGGAATGAGGAGTGTATGCTTCTCAATCATTGGGCGTCATTTGTTTTGGGTGGAGCAGAGGCTACAAGATTGTGTCTGCACGCGCCCCTCATCGAAGCCAGGTCGCCAGGATCGACACATATTCACGAAGTCAAAACGCCCACCTCTGTAGAGCTGAGCTGAACATGAGCCTTCGTCAGTCTTCGTCATTACAATCCCTTTCTTCAGGATCCTAGTGGCTTATTGAGTGCGCTATTGTCTACACAATGGCAGAACGAGGTTAAGCGAAGCATAAGTCAGTGTTCTTATACCGTACTCGGAGTGTAGAAGGCTTGGCTGGCCTGAGCGGGAGCCGCTATAACCTCCGGACCGCGTACATGGTGAGCGGCTCTTTGCCACCACATCACCTCAGCTTCTGCGGTCCATAGGTTCCATAAAATGTGAGCTGCTTGAGCTACTTCATTAGCCCCATCAATCCGCACTAGCTGGTGGCTGAAGCTCCCGTCTTTATCACCTTAGCAATCAGTTCTAATGTCCTAAAAATTAGCAGAGATCGAGAGAACAAACACCTAGGCAAGTCAAATCACTCACTGAGGACGCTCCTTCTCATATGCTAGAACAATGTGCACCTATACAAATGTAGCATTTTCAGCATATAAGAACGCGCTAAAATGAGGCCGAGGATAGTTATCATAAGAATGCTGAGTTGTGGGCAAAATCGTACCCCAAGCGGAGTCAAACCGGCATCTCACGCTTTCAGGACGCTTTTCGCGGGTTCGACTTCCGCCTGGGGTACGATTTTGCCCACAACTCAGCATTCTTGTGTGACAATATTCGGAACGCGTACTGCGGCGTTAAACAGCAGTTATCGTAACAAAACAGCCAAGAGTAGTGATATTGAGGGCCTTTCAGAACTCCACACTCACATTCCTCAAGGTTCACCAATTGTTACAGCACTTGGTACTAACAGTTAGATACCGCAGCTAAAGAGGCAGTCAGCGGCAGAAATCGAGCAAAAGTGAGAGAGCACAGACAAGGGGCGTGTTTGGCTATGTATACATGTAGTTGGCGCGATCGGAATCCGGGTACCCTACCTTCCAGTCCCGTTCTCGTGCACTCTTGAGCCAAGAAAGTATCAGGCTACGCTACTGCTGCTGCGGAACCATTCACTTCGCGCATGACAGGGACCAGGTTGCACGGAGAGCAGTGTATAAATTGTCTTTAACACAAATTTTCATTCAGGAAAAAAAACATCACCAAATATTAGGAAGCCACTGGAATCATCCATGTAACCAATAATCCATATAAAAAATTCTCTCTGATTCAAGAGCAGCAATTAATTGAACACTTTTACCTGACACCTCTTGAAGTATAAGCAACGCTCCTTGCAATTCATGCCAATTTCCAAAGTCCAACAATGAGATCACAAATACTATGCTGTAGCGCCCCACCAACACCCCTGTGAATGCATAATCCCGGGGAAAGCCACAAGTGGCATTTATATGCCTTCGAGAATAAAACTGAAAGGATGTACGTGAACAGCGAAACTCGCATACTTCTGGTTATATCGGATGCCACTGATCTGGTGGTGGTCCTGAGTTTTCCATGTCAATACCCTAAATCCTGAAATCCGTCGACCCTACCTAGACGGTTTGTGAAGACGTAATTGAACACGGTGCACAGCGTTCAAAAAACCTCAAAGGTTTGAAGGAAGAAAGGATGCCGAAATATAATATTTGCAGTCACTAATCGAATGGATAAATCACTCTGTTTGGTAGAATATTCATGAACACGAAAATGGCTGTTTTGAGGAATACTGAGCGAGTTCATTTCTGCTTTTGCAGGATTAAACGCCAAACTATGAAATATGAAGCACTACAGCTCTTGATCCCGTTACAGTATTCAATTCCTTAGGAGCTACAGACTCCGTCGCAGCAACGCGTCCACCTTTGAAGAACGTCTTCGCCTGTTCTCGCATGCTTCGATTCAACATAAGGTGCACAATGTTAGTGAAAGTCCCTGAAAGAAACTATTGGTTTGGACGGTTTTTACAATTTCGTAATACAGTATTCACCATTGCACAGCAGGAAAGCAATGAAGAAAGGACCAATATCCGTGAAAATGGTACCGCCAAAAATGTTTACGATATTTACGGTTACACATGGGCATGTAACGAAGGCGAGTGAAGTAAGTAGAATCCCAGCACATATACGATTAGCCTGAATGCAACTATTTGTACCCTAGAAATGCCTACTTCTACCACTTTTTGGATATACCTGTCTGAAATTGTTTAATTCTCTTTGGCATGCTCCACGAATTCGAGATATTCGTCGCTGAGAACGTCGTAGCTTGGCAATGAACAAAGCTGTTAGGAAAGCAGCTATAAGATTAAATATCTGAATAAGTGATAGATCGCGTAGAACTTGAACAGCGCTTAAACACCGAGCTCTTCTGACCAAAATATTTGTTGCCCAATAATATGCTGCCAGCGAGTGGTTGCGTTTGAGAAAACAGGCAAGTGCAGCGCAGTTCGGCTTTCTCTCGAATGTCAGGAGAGTGAATTCAATGAAAAGATCGAATGCTGCTAAAATAAGGCTGGTGAACAGCAGAATAACTGAGCACGTAGATATCGGAAGTCTGTGGTAGTGCATCGGGAAGAAGAGCGCCTATAACACTGCTTCTTTGATACATTATTTGCGGATAGTAGGGGCGCTAGTTCGCTGCGAGTGTGTGGGCTTTGTGAACTCTAGTCAACATACTGAGAAACTTTTCAAGGTTACGTAAAGCGCGCAAAGGTACGAAATGGTGCCAAGCCGTCTACACCTATCGAAGGATATTCACCAGTTGAAAAACCTCATAAGGTTCCGCCCACTGAAATGCTTTTGCGAACGATCGATCGCCATTGCATATCACATTGACGGGTTCTTTTTCTTTATCACTGTCAGTGAAAACGGATACGTACCGCTGTAGCTGATAGCAGACGAACCAAGCTAAAACACTTGCAGTAGTAGGAGACCTATTCTACTGAGCAAAAAGATTTACAATGCGGCTTCAGAGTCAAACTTCACACTCACCTCTTTGGCGGAAGTGAGGCAAAAGGGCAGTTAGGCCGAGTGCCAAATGTTTTCATACTCAGCCAGCTTCATCTTCACACGCAGTAAGACAACCGAACGCGAACAACCATAAGTGAGAGCGCAGTCTAGTAGGGCGACTAGCTATGGTTAGGCGTGTTAGGTGTGAGTGACGGTGCGGCAACAGGAGCGGAATCAGGAAATAACACGCGAGTGTAGATAATGCGCAGGTATAACTAGCCTTCACCCAAAGCACACCATCGTTGTGAAAATCATAACTTTGTGGGGGGGGGGATGAGTGGCATTTCACCGCGAAGCATGGGAGGTCGTAAGCACAGCGCTCATGCAGAAGAGGGGAAAGCAGCGAGAATCAGATGCTGTCAGTCGTTGGATAAACAATGTAGTCATGGTTCTTATTGCGAAGAACACCTCAAGACACACCTCAAGGGAAGGCAGAGCAAGCTGCAAGCCCAACACATGCTCCCGTCAGTACACGCAAAAACTCGTACTTCAGGCTTTTTTTTCGGCGAATCGTGTACTCCCGGGAGTGCACGCCGCCTCTTCGCCCGTTTTTGGCGGTTTTTTCCCTTTTTTTCACTAACAGTCGGGGTATAAATACTCTCGGAAGAACGCAGGAACTTTTCCTTGGGCGTACCGCGAATTCCTAGGAGCAGAGAGAAACTTCTGCTTCGCTTGCATTCTTGTGATCTTTCCCCTTTCTTACTGAAAGATATAACAATAATAATAATAATAATAATAATAGTAACAAATAATAATAATGCGAAATAACATTGAAATCTTACCACCAACATGTACTGTTTTTGGGCGAGTTGATATTGTTGACAAAGTTCATTCGGATGACTAGCCATCCAAATCAGATTCCTTGAAAATTTCGAGTAAATTGGGAGAAAATACAAGAAAACACCTAAAGAAATGTTCGTAGTGTAATTCGTATATTACTAATATAGTGTGTAATTTGTATATTATCATTTTACATGTGTAAGTTTTGTTGAAAATCTTGTCCGTCCGATTCTAATTCTAAGCTCAATCGTACAGAAAACCCACTTGTTCCACCAAGAATTGCATGAAGACTGGTCTAGAGAAAGAAAGAATGTATAAAAAATGTCAAAAGTAAAACCGAGAGAGGGGATGTTACATTGAAATAGGCAATGGGAGATTTCAATCTTGAATCGCATGCCGCGAACGCGCCGTTCGATAAACGGCAGTTTTGGGAAACGGCGTCGCTCCGTACATGTTAAAGTGGAAAACGAGCGATGAAAGGAAGTACGATGGCCGCTCACAACCACATAATAATTAAGAATCAGATGAAAGCACACCTTTGGAACTTTCTGATGGCAGGAGCGCATCTGCTTGCGAACACCTATCTAGAAGTTACACCGACCCACCGCATGGCGTGCAATGCGAATACATGGTGCACGGAGGTGATGCAACGACACCAAAAGCCTAACGATAACATTGACAAAAAGATTTGTTCCAGGAGCACACCTAGCCGGTGGGCCCTCTACCTCGCCTGAACGGTCCGCAACAGAAGCACAACGGGAAATTTCCCAGCTTCTCTCTTTCTCTCTTTTTGACCTCGGAATGTCAGTTGTTAGCTGTGAGCATTTATGTAGCTTCGAGTCATAGTACGTTGTTCGTTGAAACCCGTTCAGTCAGTGGCCTGACGTTTCGACCCAATCATCGTCTTCAGTAGCATGAACATTCCTCGAGTCTTAAATTCACAACCAACTCCATCAAGCGTCTTGGCAACTCTAGCTGTTCCGACACTGTGTCAGGAACCCCTCGAGAAGACGCTAACAAA